TAAACAAAGTCTGGATGTATATAATTTGCATTGATGATTTTGAGCAATCAAGTTCCTCGAGTTCCTCAAAGAATCGTTTCAGCCTTAAAGAGAGCTCCACAGGGCACCATTAAAAGTCTGCTTACTATATTTTTCTGGAGGTTTCAATCACCTTTCATGGTCTTCAAGGGGGATGATCTACTCACTAACTGAGCAAGTTGCAACCACTAATGAAGATCATGAGATGCAGCTCAAGGCTCTAGAAAAAGCTCACCAGCGGACTTTTATGGGATAGGCTTTGTCTTCAAATATTTTTACTTTTTTACAGAGGACATTTTAACATGTTAAGAGTAGGAAAGGAAAATAATAAAAACAATGGCTACATTTTATTTAGCCTCAGATTCAGGGTCCTGGTCCAAATATCATTATCTTTAGAGAGAGTGCATCTTTTCCATCAGTTTGCTCGTTTATAGACGTCAAACAGAAACAGCCCTCACAGTGTGTGTCTTTGCTTTATTCAACACATCTTTATAAACTCAAATTGAAATGTTAAAACGCGAGCTCTGATCGTGTATCATTACTTGTAGAAAGAAAACCCTCTCTGTTTGAAATTCAAACACTCATCCTTTAGCTTTGATGTTGTAAAACATTTGCCATGGCAACCAGGGTTATCACAGAAATAGTACATTTTCTCCTTGTATACAAAAGACACAAAACGAGTTAATCACATGTGACTAATGAAGTGTATCCTCAGAATTTACTGCCTGGAGTAAACGACAGACTAGAAAAAGGATTACCAAAGATAATGTTTGGTTCACGGTGAAAGGACATTTAAACCTCCTCCCACAGGTAAGCTTTGCACCCTGAGTCAGTCCTACCTGGTGATACTCAGAGAGGATGTTGTGCATTCCCTCCACCTCCTCACTGGAGATTTTTTTTACTACCAAAGTGCCATCGTATGATGTCAGCAGCAGCTTTACGCCTTGCCCCTCTTCGTCTTTTAGTGGAGGACTGCGGGCCAGAGACACCTGTTGGTGAGAGAGAGGATGTCATCTCTGAGCAGTGGCAACATGTGACATCAGCTGTACAATACATCTGCCCAGTGAAACCTTTTAAATCCATGACACCGGTGTCCTCTGAAACACTCTCTCTAATGCAAACAGATGGGACATCTTGAAATATGCTACTGAAATAGTTAGAATAGGTTAAATGCAAAGGGTCAAATTTCATCCTGTACCTGTATAACACTTTCTTTTGTAATTCTTTTTTTATCTTTGGTATATGACAGTACAGTGTTTCATTTTGGTGAGACATTTCTTATTGCCAGTGGTGTCAAAAACCACAATGAAAGGTACAAAGTAAAAAAAACAACAACATAGTATTGATGAAAAATGTAATAATAATTCAATACTATAAGAGACATGCTGATAATTGCATGAAGATTAATTGCTATTCATCTGTGAAGCTTACACTCATAGAAAACTGTTTTTATAATGGAGCTTGTCTATTCTTTTATTTCTGCAGATTTGGGTGTTTTCCAGTATTTCAGTATTGTCCGATAGCAGCCATAGTGATACATAGATGAAAACTGAAATTGGTATGCAGTGTATTTGGGTTCAGTCGCCTAATAAATATAATCTTGGAGATAACGGCAATTTCCTTCCCCACCAGCTGCTGAGATACTCCAAAGTTGTTCTCCAGAAGAGACATGCAGAGTATAAAAGTGGTCATTTACTTCTGATATTTCCAACACAAATTGTTATTTATTAAGCCTATCCTGTGCAGTATTAATATTGTCCAATCATTTCTGTGTATTATTTTACATTGTGTGAATTCCCCCTTAGCTTCCCTTATGTATTTCCCATTGTGTCATTTTCAGCCATTACTCTTCTTCTAAGTTTAAATGTATGTACGGCACAGTTGGGTTTGTATTATCGTGCCAAAACAAAAACAAAAAGCATTTTTCTCTGATACATGCTTAGTTTCAAGACATTTGCTGTATCGCTCTTGTAGATGTGCGGAAATAAAACTTTTATCAGCACATATGCCTCACGTAGTAATTGTGTGCTAAGCAAATGTGCAGTGAGCTGAACAGATGACGACACTCTGTCTGCCACCTGGCACATGCAAATATGACACAAAGAAATGCAAATTTAGAAGGGAGCGGCTCAGTACAAGCAGAAAATACGAAACACTGAAAAACCTTGGATGCTTTGTGTTTGTGAAGGTCTGTTTTTCATCATCATCTCTTTACAGGAAGTCTCTTGTTTTTGTCCATGTTTTTTTTTGTGGCACAATCAAATGTTGATTTGCGATGAGGTTATAGTTGTACCTGGTAATCTTGGTCCTCGATTCCAAAGCGTTCTCGCAGGTTTCTGAACACCTGTGGACAGTAGTCTTTGAATTTGAACTGTCCCGGAAGATTCTCTCTGAGGAGCAAATACACGAAATAAGAACAACGTTCTCATACTGCAACATTCCTCACACAGCATCTGATCAGCAAATGTAGTTGACTGGGAGCCACACAAGAGCTGCCGGTGCTTCATTACATAAAAATCTAAGAAATGTATCTCTCTTTCTCTTTTCTTTCTTGCAGCACAAGTATACAGTGCACAAAAATAGCATGTTCAAATCACTTCATCAAACAGTTCACATGATTAAATGCAGCCGAGATAGTAACCAATAACAAATCGTGTTTATTAATTAACAAACACAGTATATGTGTTTTCTATGACACTAAAACATGAATTACTTGTGTGTTTAATGGCTCGGTGGTGTCAAACCCGCTGTTTTTTTAACTGTCCAAATTGACAATTGCATCATTATGTTAAAACTAGTTACGTCTTAAGTTTTTTTCCACATCAAGCAACATGACAAGTTAATCTCACCAGGTGACAGCTTTTTGAACTTGAGAAAACATATTTCATTGTTCCTCTGTTTATAAATCCTCACACAACCTGGATTCCTCTGTGGATTAAAGGATTATTGAAAGCCACTCAAGTTTTCTAGACTCCATCCGTATAGAAGCTGAACCTCGGGGCAGACGGTGTAGCACAGCTTTTATAAATAGTTGTGATTTTAAAACAGGCTTTGTCTTATATTTTGTTTAACTGACTCTTATGCTCTGTGAGCTCCACAACGTTTTCTGTTTCATTTCTCAATTTAGCGGTTTTATGTGTTGTTTGTATGCAATTTATGAATTTGCTGTTACACAACCACTGAAACAAATGCATTTCAAACTCATACAGTTTCCTTATTTTACGTATAGACAATTATCCACACTGCACACCACGGTCCAGACAAGCTAAATTAATAGTTCTTTCATCTTTGTGGCTATTTATTATTACTTATAATGGCTGTAGCCGTGGTAGTATTAAAGGTATTGTTAGTGTAAAAAAAACAGTATCGGGGTGTAATTTCTGATAAGCACAGGCAGGCATATAAATCACAGGAGGCACAAAAATGTGTGCAAATCACAGGGAGAAGGATGAAGGTTCCTACAATGAGACCGACAGAGTTGAGTGGAGCACAGTACTTGTTGAAGAGGTGGTTGCTGACTTTGATCTTGGTGCTGGCTTTGAAGTCGTCTGGAAGCAGCATGACAGGTACAGGCACATGGCTCAGGTCATTAATCTGCGCATGATCAATGGATGCACAGTTAATGAACATATTCACGCACAGGTATGCATCTATATAACACTCCCAGTAAGCAGCTGCACGTACCTACCGAGTGATTGACTCCCCACATCAGCACGCTCAACACGGGGTCACTGCCTCGGAAAACCTCCACTTTCTGCTGCACAAAGTGCTTCTTCTTGGTTTTCCTTTTGGGCGCCAGAGTGTTTAAAGGGTTGGAGGTGGCACCGGGAGAAGACATCGCACTTTTCAACCGTATACGCAGTCTGTGAGCAGGGTTTGACTTGTCATCCGTGGTGTCCTGTCTATGTAAAGTAGCCTGAAGTCCGCCTTGTGTAGGAGAACCTGCTGGCGCTGTGAACCGACTTAACACCTCCGGGTCCGGACACTGGTGGTCGAGTCTGTGCAGCAACAATGAAATCAATGTGCAGGCAAATACTGTACTCGGCTCGTGAGTGTGAGAGGTACAGTAACTAAGTAGATTTACTCAAGTAGGCTAATTACACTTTGAAATATGCTTGAGTATGCTGCTACTTTCGGGCTACTTAAGTAAAAGATCAGAACACATCTTCCACCGCTGGCCTTTATCTAGAATACACAATGCCTTTGCATGTTATTTGCAACTCATAAAGAAAAACGTTTTTCCTATAAGCCTACACAAATATAACAATGCAATAGTTTTGTAAAGGTAGATACCTTTGTGTAACTGCAGTTAGTGGTGACTTTGTGTTAAAGTGTATCCGGTTTATGACCTTGCTGTTATGAGCAGTTTTGCTTTGTGTCATTTCTTAATTTGAAGGATTCATGAGGCATAAAGACATGACATTTTTTTCCCCCTTATAAGTTAAAAATTCTAAATCACTCCTTAGATTTATTTTGGGACTCACGTGGTTTGGATTGGAGCCACTGTCATAAAGTGTATTTCATATTTTATAACTTCATCTAAATGATGAGGGCAACATTTTACAAACACCTCTATGTATAATAAAGTCAAATACAACAGTCCCAACAAAAACTGAACATTTTAAGGAAAGTAGTTTTTATTACAAGGCTTTAATTGACTGTTGCAAAATGCATTTATATCTATTCATTTCTCACACATGCTAAATGTTGCACAAGTTATTACAAACATCATTCTTTCTGCAACTATATGTACGCAGATGATAAACTGTCATAATGGTTTTATTGCAGCCCCGATTCTAATAGAGTTTGATCTCAAAATGCATTTAATCTTCTTTCTGTTGAATAATAAATATGACTTATGTCTGGTTAGTCAATAATTTAGGCCCTCTATGCTGTAATCATAATTCTGTAGTTGCGTTACATGTGAGTGTTACTGTTCAACCTTGCATTGATGCACAGTAAACACATGTTGGGCAGTGCCTTCTTCTTCTTCTTCTTCTTCTTCTTCTTCTTCTTCTCCTTCTTCTTCTCCTTCTTCTTCATTCATGATTCGCTGGTTTTAAAGACTTGATGGATTACCTCTGGCGGGCATGTTTGCAATATTGCCCGTCAGTGTCAGTTTTAACCTTCTCAGTTTTAACCAGGTACATTTTCTTCATGAATGCCAAAAAAGGTAATCAATTACAATAATGCCCCCATGTAATTCTGCATTAGGTTTTTAAAATAATTCCTCAGGTGTCCGCTCTAATGGGCAACCACTGATAAATGACTTATTCAGATTACTATTAATATAAATATCATATTCAAAGTAACATAAATAGGATTACATCTAGAGATGTATGTACAGCAATTACAGAAATACAATCATAAAAAAAAAATACTGAAAATGTATGTATAAATATGATACAATGATCCAAATGATATTGTTTAAGATCTTGGTCGATGGCTAGAAATATTAATGGAATTAAAATGTTGAAGCATAAAGATGAACAACTTGAATATGTGTAGCTCAAACTGTTTCTGCAACTAATGCTGCAATGTGACACTTGTCTGGAAAAAGTCATCTGTTAATACACATTTGATAAAGTGTACATTGACATCTCATATCAGTTGATATGACAGTAATGTCTAATCAATACACTCCCAATATGTTCAGTAGAGGGCGCAAGGATACAAAGTTACACCTGATTTGGAAACAGCTTTTCATTGGTGGAAAGCTGTTTCTGGCTGGTGGAACATGAAATGAGAGACTGTGTTGAGCTCCGTTAGACTCTGTATTGGTGTTCCTTCATCTTTATCTCGTATCGGTGATGAAGCTTCAGCCTCCTCTGCTTCAGTCCGGGCATCATGCATTTTAACAACTCAGGCCTCCCCTCTGCTTAGTGTTTGAGGAGACTGGCATGCCCTTCTGATCCACACACCAGCACTTGCCACGTCGCTTACCTCGAGACGACCAACACTGCCCAAACAGAGCAAACAAAGATTGGTTTTGCAGCTGGAAATACAACCACACATCTGTAGGAAAGTCTTGTTGACATGCTTTCGTCTTATTTGCAAACATACCTGCTTCTTTCGGAAGAAACCACGCTTGTCACAGTTGGGCATGTAGATATCATGATGGGACTTAATTAAATGGGCATCAAGACCTTTGATAAGTGAAGTCAGCAGTTTACGACATGGAGCCTGTAGGCAGAGTTCAACAGATACATGTGAAGGTCTGATTGAGTTCAACTCATGTACTGTTTCTCTGAATTACTAAGGTCATTAGATGAAGTTTAGTTACCTCGTCTGGATCCTCAGTAGTTGCTGGGTCTAGGATCAGACGCAGAGAAAAACATTGAGCAACTTGTTACTGCGTGACTACCTACGTAAATCAAACAACATTCATTTCATTTTATTGTGAGGTCAGCTCCAATTATTCATTTGTATGAACTATAGAACTAATAATACTAAAAGCACTAATAGATGTGATAAAAACCAACCTTGAAAATAAAATCAATGGTTGTACTGCGGCCACTGAGCCATAAAAACATTTCTCATGCAGCCAACTGCTGTTTCACTACATCTATTGTTCTTAAGTAACAGCTCGCCTGGGACTGATTTGTGGAAAAATGAACTCATTGTGTAAAAACAGCTGTGTTTCTCTATTCAAATGTCCTCGTAACTATCACAAACTAAGGATCAAATTACAGCAGGATTGATTGAACGCTCATTTGCTGATTAGATGTGAAATGTAATGACGTCACCCTCTCAAAAACTGGCAAATTAATCAGGAAATGGTGAGTTTTGAAAATCCATAAATCATGAACCTCACCTAAGCCTGAATTTCATCTTACCTACAGTCTGGACATTTTCAGTCGGGCTGACGCCGCTGGCGTTACTGCAGACTCCCCTGCCTTCCAGAAGGGCACGGAGGGGCCTCGGCTCATCCTCTGAAGGTGCACAACGTAGACCGTGGGCGCAGCTCAGAGTGTAGACCCCACATGGTTCTCCAACGGCCGGAGCGGTGGAATTTGAATCTACAGCCGGCTGACTCTGTGTGGACTTTGATTTACAAGTGGGACATCCTCTGGACGGTGTGGTCGGCACCATTGAGCTCGACAAAGCCGGCTGCAGGAGGAGCAGCACCAGGATGTCTAAATACAGAAGCATCTCACTCTGAAAGTCGTCCACTAATAAATGCTAACAGTCAACTGACTGACTTGTTGACTGAGGACTTAATCTTAGTTTAGATCCACTGACTGCAGTGTGTCAAAAGGTGGATAGTAATTCCCTCAAGCCAAGACAAAATGATAATGAGGCTGCCAGACACGACTGGCAGCAGCTTTTAAAGAGTCGAAGTGGGGAAAGGTATGGGAGGGTACATGATGGAGAATGTTTTCACACAGCTGAGCACACCCCGTTTTCCCTTGTCTCTGACACGCACACACACATACCATTGGTTGTTTTCATCATTTATCAGTCACTTTGTCACAAGTTACTTTGCAGATTTAACATACAAACCTATAAGGAGATTATCAAATATAATGCAAACCTAGCTCCACCTCAACCAAGTTTAACGTTGAGATGTTATATATAGTAAACGGCCTCATAATCCAAACAGTTATGTGCAGTTTAAGGAGATTATTGTGAGCCGACAACACACTACTTTGAGCATAATTTGAAATGCACATAAATTCAGTGAGAAATGTGTTTACATATAAACAAACCCACTTTCCTTATAAAATACTCAAAATAAAACAAGAGCTGTGAAAAGAACACCCAGTCACAATAAAAAAAGAGTAGAAGTAGTTATTTCCTCCCTTTCCGTTCCTGTTTTTGACATTGTTAGGACGCTTGTTTAAATGGCAACCATAAACAAACACTTCGTTCCTAGAGCGTGTTTACAAAGTCTGTAACTGCAGGGCTAAAGATTCATAGGAAATGGCCACACTGAGAGGCTGAAGGAGTGCCGATCAAGGTTGGATGACTAAGACATTAATAGCTACAAGCAAAAAGTCCCACCCTACAAATTCCACTGACTGTGAGTCACAAACAGATTGAATTAGAAGACGTGATCTCAAACATGTCTTAATCCCCAGCTTGTGACAACTTTATAGATACAAATACAATATTGTTATAAATATAGGCCAATACAGAAATACAGTTACGTGACTTGAATATCACTTAGACTACTTAATCTGGCCTCTGTGGTGATTCTGAATTCATAGGATGTTTTCATTAATGTAATAAGGTATCTTGATTTTATTTTTTTTTTTTTACACAAGAACAGTTTTCATCTGTTCTGTATGCAACAGTTTCTTAATTAAATTTCGATGCAAAATGTACTAAACCTACACAATGACATATATCAATATCACAACATTAGATTACCCTGTGATACAAGACAAATTTAATGAAAAGGCCACAACTCATCACTTAAGGATTTTTGGTGATATCTTTTTTTAGCTGCTTCTCACATATTATTACCCCAGAGAAAAGATGTCCAAAGCGGACTTCAATGGGATGTCCTCTTTATGAGACTAAGACTTGACTTTAACTACTCTGTGATTCTTGCCTTTACAAAAGTAAAACAAAACTTCATTAAATATGACTGTAGAATATAGACGAAAAGGTATAAAAAGAATTCACCCAAAGTTACGTTTTTATTAATAGCCCACTTTTGTATAAAATAAGTTTTCATAAAAACTACTTGTCTTTGATGAAATCTTAAGGTTACGATGCTTCTGTTCTTACAAAGCCCTAAAGTCTTTCACCCCCGTATTTGAATAGCTGAGCACTCCTCATGTAAAACATTATGCAAACACCAACCGTAAAACCTGTTAAAAGACTACATTAACACACGGCAGTGCACCGGTTAAAGACTACACACATGTATCCTCTGATGTGATTGGTTGAGTGGGCGGGACTTCCGGCTTGGCAGGTTGGACATAAAGTGACAGACTTCACCTCCTTAAAATTGGAAGAAAAACCGAAGGACGACGCGTTTCAAGTTTTAAAACAGTAAGGAACCCACATGAGACAAATAGGCTGTGAATAGTCTGTGTGTAACCTGAGATATAATCATGTTTACAGTACATAATTAGCCTTAATGCTGTTACGCTGAAAGCAGCCAGCCGGCCAACCGAGTCGTGCCTGTAGTTTGGGAAATAGGATGCTGCGTTTACGGTAGGCTCGTAAAACGGTAAACCGAAGAAGTTAATCTGAGATAATGGTTCGCATAATTTCTTTACCTTATCAAAACACATCACCAACTAGATCCTCAACTGTATTATTAAGTCGTATTCGGGCTGGTCACTCGGTTTCATTATCACTTTGGAAAGAAGAGCTCATAGTTTTCAAGGAACAGAACTTTTGTTTCGGCAACGAAACTATTTCCCCCCTCACGTGACGTCAGTCTGTGTCACGCTACGCTGTGGCGCCGTGCTGTAGTGATCCACCACTGAGCCAGTGGACATGAAAGAAGTCACATAATAAAATACTTTTGTTATTAATATACTGAGTTATAAATGTGAAAGGACCAACAAAACATGTTCAACCTTGTATTGATCCACAGTAAACACATGTTGAGCTGTGCCTGCTGCTTCTTCTTCGTCAAAGACATAATGGATTTACCTCTTGATCAAAGACATTTTTCTTTAAAATAATAAATATCAATAGGTTCTTTAAATGCAAAAAATGTTCAACGCATCAATGAAGTCTCTTGTGGGCATATTTGCAATACTAGTATACCAGTTAAATGCACCAACGTTTGGCTGATATCTGATAAATTAGTTGATGGACAGAACAATAAGCTGCAAATATTAATATATGAATAACTGTTTTGATAGGCATTCATTAACTCATTAAGTTCTGACGTTTTATAGACAAGACAATTGATTTAATAATTGAGGAAAGAAACTTCAGATTGATAAATAATGTAAACTATCATGGTTTACAATCCTACAACAGTGAGAAATTGAGTTCAAATGTTGGCATTTAGGTTTGCAGTGTTACAGTTAGACCAGAAACGCATCACTGAGTCAGTTGGAGTTCACCTGGAGTGGAAGACACCCGAGGGAGACACCTGACCACCACGGGGCTAACACAACTAATGGACTCACGTTTGTGCCTGTTGATGGTGTACAATCACTGTCCAGGCCTTTGCTTGTCTCTGGAATGTGGGATTAAACATAAATGGAAAAACACAATTGCATCAAGTCCTCGCAGGAAGGGTTTGGCCTGAGGATCAAAGCCAGGTCCCTCTGGTAGTCAGGCAACAGATGTAATCATGTTGTGGTCTAAGAGGTTTGCCGTGGTTTTAAGGACGACCTGTGCTGTTTTTTTGGAGGTGTCCTTTTTCCCCCAACAAGCTCTTATGGCTTTAACCATTGACTGAACAAACACAGGAACATCTACATTTGAATATTTCATTTAAAAAAAAAAAAACACCAGGCAGAAATTATATACATACATTATTCTAAGATGAATATTTAATGTTGTGTAATACATCGTTTTGATTTGTGTCCCAGATTGTAATGATTTTCAGACATGGACGACATAAACCTTCATTACCGCTTTCTGAACTGGAGGAGGCGAATTCGAGAAATTCGTGAAGTGCGAGCAGTGCGATACCGGGAGCGGCTCAAAAGGATGCTGAGAGACGGAGACGTGCTCAGGTAGCAGTGATGAGCGATGAGTGTTTGAACTGGAGACACGGATTCCTTCTGTGATTTAGTCCCTCATTTAATGCTAGAGCTGTTCCTCCGCTCGCTGAATCAGCATCCCACTTTGTGATGATTACGGTCATATTTGGTGTTTTTTTCTTGTTGCATCTCCTTGTAGGTATCATGGGAATTCAGATGAAGTTGGCTGTTTTGTTGCAGCCAGGCCATTGTCGAGAAGAAATCGCTACTTTGAAGTAAGAGTTTTTCTTTCAATCCGTCACTATTGATACGACAATTAAGAAAACCATACCTCTATGTAATACTTATAAATAAGCTTCATCAGTCCAACAGGTTTTCTGCACACAAATCAATAGTTTTTTGTGGTTTGGTTGAAAAGTTATCGGTCGATAATGCAGAACACCACAGAAATGAAGGAGCTCCTTGGAGCTGGAAATATAACAAATTCACCACAATTCATTGGTTATCGAGTACCTGAAGTATCGGCTCAGATACATTTCAGACAACAACATAAAAAAGTAAAGTACGACTATTTTATAAAAACATTCTGCAGTATATTTGAAACTGTCAACAGTGACCCACATCTTTTTTTCATTTCCTGTGAGTAGAAAGTAATAAAGTACGTTTGTTTTCTGTCAAAATAGTGTACTGTGAATTAGTATATAGTGTTTACTTTTATATTGTTAGTATTCATTATGGATTTAGGACTCGGCCCTTGTTGCGTGTTGATGACAGGTGGCTTGTCAGTGTGTCTCAGTGCTTGTCTTCATTGCGCTGAGCCATCCTGAAAAGGAAATCATGACACTTACCTGAGAACCGCTCTTTTATGAGACACAACGATCTCTCAGCTTGGACTTATATTCTGATCTATATTGTTTGCTGGGACTGAAAGTACAGTGAGTACTGAAGCTAATGTTGTTTCTTCAAGTCATATGCCAAAATAATTTATACTAAAGTCAGAAGCAATGTGTCAGCAATTAAGTCCCAGCACAGAAAATAGCGATAGATTCACCTTTGCATGCTGTACATCTCCTCCTGACGCACTGTTCAGTCAACGTGTCTCTATATCTTTTGATCACATGCTTTTTGTTATTGTAAAACCTCTGTGATTAAAGTGAGACAACAACATATTTTTGGATCAGAGGAGAAACCAATTAAAAAGAGCTGAAGTCTTCCAGAAACTCAGTAAATGTATTCGCTAGGGTCGCACACATTCCCTGCAGTTTGTCTGCAGAAAGTGTTATTAGCATCGATTCACTTCACCCAAACAGTGTTGTGAGTCCAGCCCCATGTCGTTACTGTTGCTAAGCCTGTCAAGCCTTCCACCCTAGCATGGAACATGCATCGCTTGCAATGATAACAAAGGAAGATTTTGAGCTTAACATTTTCTGCACGTTTCAAACCAACGAGTCCTTGAGTTCAGGAGGCGACAGACAAAAAAAACAGGATTCACATCTCGAGCAAAGCAAGCAACCATTTTGGCACCTGGAATTACAGATGTTGTGGGGAGATTTTAATCAGCTGTAGCTAGCTAGCTCATTGAGATCATGTTAGCTCCATGAGTAGTTTGGAAACGTCGTTTCAAAACGTGAAATATGCACTTGATGGCTACTTGCATGACATTGTGCTAAAATGCCAGCAACAAAGTGTACACCACTACGCTGTTGACACCAGCTGAGTCAGATTGTTTATTTGTAAACAGCCCCAGCTAGCAGCCAGTATGAAGGGTCAATACTGTACTACATACTGTAGCACAGCTGCTGCATACAGACGCAGTGTATTCGAGTTTCGGTCGTGCTTTCGACGTGATGGATGTGCTGACTCGATCTGATACAGGGGCTTTCTTATCTCAGCCCTGGCAAACTGGTTTCACAAAGCCAAATAAGTTGCAGCTCGTTACAAATGGTGTTCTGGTTTGTTTATTTCACAGTCCTCGGTAGTCTAGACACTGTAGTGCACAAACATCCCAGGACTGACTGTTCCTCAGAATTAACCGTGTTCAAACTTGCCTGAAACACACTCACACGCATCCTGCTCACGTGTAGTGAAACAGTAACTAACCCTCTCAACCTTTTTACTTGCGTGTGCTTCATCCCCGTGACTCACTTCATGGGAGCCACGTAGGAGGAGGAATGGGGACGATTTGCGTCAATGAGCGTATGTGCTAATAACTGTTAGGAAAGGGGATGCTGATTGTAGATCTGGCAGTAGATTTTAGGGTTGATCTGCATGTTTTACACTGACACAGAAAAAGAAAAAGGTTACTTCTCACTCTCAGGAGGCCAGCGTTGAGGTCATGGGAAAGAACTTAAGAGTTTCCTCCGCTCCTTGTCCTAGATTTGCCAGCTGTACTCCGATTGCAGTGCTTCCATGTACGGCTCCCTAGGGATGATGTCATATGGTCAGCATTTGGTTATGATAACAACGGTAAAGGCCAGCTCTTTACCTCAGGGTTTTCACTTTGAACCGACAGGCAGCTCTGTACAAAAGAGATGCTATATAGTTTCAGGTTGGTTTGGAAACTCTATGAAGTGAAAAGAGAAGCAGTGCCAACCCAAAAGCAAAATGTAAAGGCAAGCAAAAAAAGCCCGACGGAGCCGAGAGAAAGCTTTTCTGGCAAATGAAACTGTATCCCTCAAGTGGGCCCTTTGAAATGTCACCTTGTGTGATGTTCCTATCATAAAACCTGTATAACTAGGAGGTTAACTATCGGATTGATTGCCATGAAATTCTACACAGACATTTGTGGTCTGCAGAGAATGATCCCCTCTCACTTTGGACACCGGTACCAGCACCAGCGTCAAAACTGTATTAGTCCAGTACTTTACTTTATGACTAAATGTCGGCAAAACTAATGACATTCCTATCAGCCTCAGCTGTGCTTTGTGTTTAGTGGTAATTAGCAAACATTAGCCTGCTAACATGCTAAACTAAGATGGCGAATCAACATCTAGCATTAGCATTTAGCTCAAAGCATAAGTACAGCGTCGCAGAGCAGCTAGCATGGCTTGTTCGTTGAAGTATAAAGTAGTTAGCTGGATTACTTTGCTTACATAACCTGTTTATTTGTAACCCTAACATACATTCACTGTGCGTGTTCTTTGATTCATCTCAGTGGGTGACTCACCCCATGTGTGACAACAACAACCACCAAAAGACAATAATTCTGTGTCCTTCACCCTCGCTCCCCTCCTTTCATACACTTCCTCTGCCTCAACTACGTTTGTTATAAAAGCCTCCCACACATGATGTGTAATAGGGAGCCCAAGGTTGAGTCTCAAAGATGTTTCGAGAATTGAATAACTCCTCACATTATTTAGAAGAAACTACACTTTGATTCTCACTTCTCCGAATCTCAGGTTGTTCACAGAATGTAATGACACCCTTCCGATTTAAAATTAAGTCAATTTGGTGAGACTACTGTTTTAAGACCAAGATAATCCATTTGTGGTTATTCAACCTGTGGTGTTTTCAGGTGACCATCATCGATACCGGAGTGCGGGGAATGATTGCTGTTGGTTTGGTGCCTCAGCTCTACAAGCTGGACCATCAGCCCGGATGGCTCCCACACTCTGTGGCTTTTCATGCTGATGATGGCAAGTATGTGACAAGGATGCTTTTCTTTACATATACTATAGACTGAACATGTTGTTAATGATACATGGAGGTCCAGAAAATAATAGCCATATGAATGTTGAAACAGGTTCATCATTCCACCTGTCCATACATACTGGTCGTTAAGAGATCCCTTCTTTTAGAGCGACTTACAAAGAGGGAGATGACACAAATGAGCTGTTGATTTTGTGCCATTATTTCCTTCATTTTCTTACTGTTTCTTACTGAATCTTTTCTTACTGTTACTGGCCCCATTTTGTAGATATCTTCTGGAGTTTTTCTGGACAATCTTATAACGATGAGCCTTAATGATTAGCCATTCAACCTCCCATACGTGTCTCTCCACAGGCTGTATAATGGCAACACTGTAGGACAGCAGTTTGGTCCAAAATGCTGCAGAGGAGACAGAATCGGCTGTGGAGTTTCTCTGGACTCTGATGATGGACAGCTAACTGTGTTTTTTACCAAAAATGGCAAAGAAGTAAAGTGCTCTGTTAACATCATATCTTTATTTCCTGAGACAGAATTTATTCAGCCATTCAACAATTATATCTATCTATCTATCTATATCTAATCTATATCTATATATATTGTAATCAGAGTTCCCAGCTAGCGTTCCCTGAACAATACTGTGTCTGATTGTGTGCCTAGGTCGGCAGTGTGGACATCCCAGCGTCTCCTGACGCTCTCTTCCCCGCAGTGGGAATGCACTCTTTGGGAGAAGAAGTGCTGCTGGACCTGAACGCTGAATGGGGGACGGAAGAGGATGATGGACAGATGATCGTGGATAGTCATGAGGAGGACTGGGGCCGTCTCCATGACATCAAGGTGACCGGCACGGTACGTCCTGTTGCTGAGAGATGTGTATATACTAAAAGATGTTCATCATGTCTTTTACCAATTCGACTGTAAACAGTCAGGGACATAAAGTACAACATAAACATGTAGCAGGTTGTCTCCCTATTTAAATGTTCGCGATGTGTAGTGATTCACTTGTATCAGTAGGAGGATGACGCAGAGGAAGAGTCTGTGTACACAAGATAATTGGTATGTTATATATCAGAAAGCTTTAATTAAGGTTGTCTGCTAACTGATGTTGTTAGCTTGACTCCTCAAGGTACATCACTTGTTTGAGTCACTCCATCGCTCCTGTATTTCATTCAGTTTTATCCATTAGTTGCCATTAAGTCCTGGTCTGTAACAACACATGTTTAGAATTTCATTTCAATATGTATGATAAAATATTATATTTATTTTGGGTTTAATTAAGGCAAAGTGCAAACGTTTAGATAGCAAGTCCTAACCCCAAAACCCAGATGGTCGATTCAGAAATTCAGACGTAAATATTAGCTTTTGCTAAATACCTGATGGGAACAGACCAATACTTTCTCTAAAGTACTACTTGACCCTCTCTCTCTCTCTCTCTCTCTCTCTCTCTCTCTCTCTCTCTCTCTCTCTCTCTCTTTCTCTTTCTCTTTTTGGGACTCCACCCCTCCCTGTGACGCAGTGTTTGTGTCTGACTCAGACGTTAAACTATACACATAAAACCTGAATAGATAAAGGATGGGAGGGGAACGTAGCGCTGCAGCCCTTAGGCAGCACCTGTATGCCACCCGCACATTTAATTATGCTATATTGCTACAAATGTCCTGTCTGATCATCTCACTGCAACTCATCAATTACACATCTGCACCTCTTAGCAGTACATGAAAGCTGTCAGGACATAAAAACAAAACATGTAATAACTTTGGAATTTCAGGGCTGATAATGGATGGCATGGTGTGCTTTGATATTTTTTTTATTGTTGTCATATATGTAAGGTTTTGGATTACAGGGTTGTGCTCTCCAACTATCAGGCACCCTCTGTTTCTGTTTTGTTTTTTTCATCTACTTGCATTTGCACCGGAGCGACTGTTTACTCCTTGAGGTCGTACTGTCACGCTGCCAGAAAGGGAAGAGAAGAAGGCGAAGTTCTCTGAAAACAAACCGGTCTGTGAAGGCTGATGGATGAGACTTGGAATATATTTTATTTATTTTAAGTGGGTGTATGATTTTAAGATTTAAGCAAACATTATCATTCTTAGTGCTGAAGTGACAGCGGTTGGGTTTGATGAGCTCAAACATGTCAAATATTATGGGTCTATTTTTTTAATCTCACTCTTTGTTAATGAAAGAAGTTAACTCTCCTCTCCATGTTAGTAATGGCGTGTTGAGCCTAGACAGTCACGCATGACTTTTATCTTCAGACTCTTTGTATTGTGGACCCAAACAGTTCGGTGCAGGGATGACAAACCAAAATCCTGCCCCCGCTTTTCCAGAAAAGAAAGAATCGTATGATGTTGCAAGACCTAGTTTTTTACCTCATCATCTAACATCCCTAACAGGATAACGTGTGAATAAAACGTGCTCTCTCAAAACTGAGAGGGAAGCAGAGACAGAATCTGAAGCTATCGCACTCTTTTGTTTCATTATAATAATTTGAATAAACTCTTCCACTAGTTTTGTTGTGATTTATCTAAATAATAACAAGACTCAACTCAATGTTAGGTTCTTAAAGCATGCGTTTTGATGAATTTGCATGGAATAGCAAATACATAAAGTAATTATTGTCGTTTGAGCTGTTTCAGAAAAAAACTTAAGTGCTGCAGGCGAGTGGAACTGGGGCAGGACTTTGTCTCTCTATATGGGCCAGATTAAACCGCTGCATTATCAGCTGTAACCACCATATGAGAGCAGTTCACAGCGCCGGCCGTGAGCTAGCCAGCGGGGCACGATAACATGAACTAACATGCACTAAAAGGAACGCACGGCCGGCCCGGCTGTGTAGAGAAAGCACAGAGAAGCTTGTGTTACAACAGAGGGAGAGTGACGTCATCCTCTGCTAAGATAGACATTACTCCTCTTTTCTGCTTTATTAATGCTCTTATAGTTCTAATAGTGTATAGAGAACCTCAAAGTGAGCTAACATCAGCCACCAGATGTTTCTAGATAAGACTGTACAACCAAAACTTCTGGGTATATTAAATTGAGCAAGCGTGTGCGTGTTTTTATTGATTTTTTTATCTATAAGACTAAAATGATGCTGACATGTTATCGTCTCACAAAGTTGTTGTGCCTAACGCATAGTGTTTGCAGTAACAACACATCCAGCAGCATATGAAGTAACATAAGGGTTTATTTGGGGAACATGTTTTCGGCTACCCCATAGATATATATATATATATATATATATATATATATATATATATAACCAGTATTCACTCTTCTTCTAGCTCTGTTGGTCGCGATAAACCCATGAGAGAAATATCTGTCTCATTACCTGCGAGATGCTCTGCTGTGTGATGCTAACTCTGTCTGTCTGCTGAGCAGGTAACTGAGTGTGTCTGTGTTATTCCCACAGCTGCTGGAGTACGTGGGTAAAGGGAAGAGCATCGTGGACGTGGGCTTGGCTCAGGCCCGCCGGCCTCTCAACACACGCTTCCACTACTATGAACTGGAGATCACAGATGCTGGAGAGAAGTGTTATATTGCCCTGGGGCTGGCACGCAGGGTACGAGCCTCCTCCTTTTTAGTCCTCACCATAATGAGCACATGTCATTATCATTGACACACTCCGTTACTTACTGCACACTCTGCGGTTATCTGTCGGTAAAGAAAACCTCTCTCCCCGTCATCGCTCTCGCTCATATGCACCGCTGCTCTCACTGTTTCCAGTCTGAGTGATGGATGACCGAAAGAGGAAAAGCTAACGACAGAATAAATATTCTCTCATTTTACCCCCACATCTGGTTTTCCATAGAAAGCAGGTTGTTCCGTTTGCATGTCAACTAGAACACTTGCAGTCAAGTATGTGATAGGTTAGTTATGAGATGAGCGCATCTGATTGTTTTGTCTCAGATTCTGTCGGTTCCTGCTTTATTTTGCTTCCTTAGTCACCGTGCACAAGAAGGGGTGAAAAGAAAACAATTCCTCAGGCAAAACAATTAAAGGTTGATGTCCTAATTAATCAGGTGGTATTAAATCACAAAGGATGACAGCCATCAATGATGCATATTTTGGAAAAAATAAGTTGGGTCTGAGAGAAGACTTGAATGTTGACACATCAGAGATGCATTCAGCTGCCTTTGCCCTCGCATGAACTCGTGCACGTCCCGTCCAATAGAAATATGAAACGGCGTAGTGTTGGCTGAGGGAGCAATCATCGTGGCATTCAAACAACAGATATGAGATGAAGTGTGGCTCTGTTATTGCCGCAGTCGGCAGGGAGTCTCAGTTATTGGACGCTAATTGATTGAGCTTGATTTTTTGCTAATCACACTGCTGTTTTGCCAGCTGCGCCGGTGCTCACTGCCTGGGAGGTGGTGGGTAACTGTTGCATTAGGCTCCCCTTGACACCTCTGCTGTTAGTTGCTGTGTGTGGGCACGTTGCGCCCTCGGGTCGGATGGCGTGGAGAATAGAGCTCTGTCATTTTGCTGGTTGTTTTCCTGGAATTGTTTTTCTCGATGTGTGTCTGCGGTTCCGAAGCATCATAAATCCATTAAACGGTCATTCCTGAGGTTTTGTACCATGCCCCGTCATCTCCAGTCGTCTGATGGGAAGCGTTACCTCTCGCTACAGAAATCAAAACAAAGGTGTCTCTCTCTGTCTCTGGGTAACACATGCTTTACAGTTTCTAGTTGCTTATATTGGATGAAGAATCAATTGTTTTCGGTGCATTCCTTTTCTCTTGTGTTGCTTTGGGGGAAAGTCTCATTGTCTCTTTAATTCTGTGTTTTTTCTTCAATCTTCTTTTGCTTTATCTGCCTTTCCCATCTGTTGCTGTGCCCATCACTACATCAGTCCTCTGCTTACAGGGGCTTAAATGATTTCTACTTAGAATTTACAACTTCACTGTAAAGTGAATCTCTTTTCTTTCAGGAATCCCTCCCTTCGTAGAAAGCCGCTGTAGTCTAGAGGTGATTTAGCTCATCAGAGTCGCATTGCTTGGTGAAAGATGATGTTAATTTAGATGTTTGTCCATCACACCATATTTGTAGAAATAACACTTTAGGATGCCCAAAGCTAGATAGAAAATATGGGAATAAACAAGTACAGTGAGCAGACTTCTTAACTAATGCTCCCCATCATCCAGAAACACTGAGAACATTTGGAATGGAGTTGCACTGTAAATAGACCTGGCCCCTGAACAAATTCCAGTTACAAATCACTGTAAATACTCTCAATTAACTGTTGATCATAAATATTCACATAATTCCAGCGTCCTTGCTCGGACCACAAACCATCTTCAAACCCGGCCTCAGCTACAGACCTGCAAATGTTTTATAACTGTGTCTTAGACGGACGCTATCACGGTGACAAAATCCGTCCACAGACATTAAACACTTGGCAAAGTACTCAAAACCTCTTCTGTTGAAGTTCCTGCTCCACCACATTTTGCCGTGACGACACACACAGACTCACAAAGTGAAAACAATACCAGCGTCGTTGATTCGGCTGGTCATAAAATGGATGGAGACATTAATGAGACTAGTTGATATCCAATCACAAGATGTCACTTTCTCTTCTGTCTCACAGGACTACCCCAAAAACAGACATCCAGGTTGGAGCAGAGGATCTATAGCATATCATGCAGGTGAGAGTTGGCTGATCATGATGGTAATGGCACCAAATTGTCACCCGTGTTTCTGGCCATGGAAGAAAGTACTGATTTGTATTTTATTATTATTGTTTGCCATTTTAGAAACAGACGTCATCTCGTGTCTTAATTGTATCGCACTCTCTCGTGCATGTGACATACAGCTCTGATCAACGTCCCTGTTGTTCTGTGTAGATGACGGAAAGTTGTTCCAGGGCAGTGGGGTCGGGGACGCGTTTGGACCACGCTGCTTTGAAGGGGACATCATGGGCTGCGGGATCATGTTCCCGCGTGACTACAGCCTCGATGGTGGAGGTGATCATCTTCATATTGTTTCCAAAGCACTGTGCCTCATCATGTACAACCTCTAATAGTCTTTCTATTTCTGTGTCCGGGTTCTTTCAGATGATGTGGACGACTGGGACCTCGATGTGATTCCCAAACCCAGCGAGGTTCAGAATGACTTGTATGCAAACAATGAAGATGAGGAGGATGAGGGAGAAGATTTGGAAGGGAGGAAGGTCACGGTGAGATGCTGTCAAATTCTTGGAATATAATACCAGGGAGTCTTCCTCACTTACATACATTGTCTTCTTGCTGTCCCCTTTTGTGTTTGAGCAGGTGTTCTTCACCAGAAATGGAAAGGTTGTGGGCCGGAGGGACGTGGCCTTACCTGTAGGAGGCTGGTACCCCACGATTGGCATGATGAGCACTGGGGAGAAGGTCAGAGTGGACCTGCACCCCCTTAGCGGCTGAGCAGAGAACGGAGGAATGGTGGAGCTCTACTATATCTTTGGAGATCAGATAACAAATATTACCTCCACATCAACAGGCTCCAAGATGTTACTTGAAAAGTCACTCCAGTGTAGAAGGTGACTGAGACTCATGCTGTAAGAATGATCAAATTAATTTATGTTAATATAACATGCGTGCCTCAAAGACGTACTTTATAATGAAATGGTTTTACAGAAAAGCAATAAACCAGAGGTTTGTGTTGGTGACACACTATTTTTGATAATTTCATCACACAGAGTGTAAACTAACATAAAATACCAAAAGAAAAGCGTCTCACCAGAATAATGAATGTAAAAATCCAATCAGAGCAGACCCCAGCCTACACATGGACCCTTTCATCAGCAGTAAATATGTAGCAGTCCTCTCACAGCCTGCTGCACGTCTTGCTAACGGCGGTGTGCTACTGACACTCAGTGGTGAGTGAGAGTGGTAGTCTGAAAAAGAATGCTCAGAAAATCCTCCAATAAAAGAAGTGGCGCACTGAATGAACCGTGAGTTTACTCTGTGGAGCAATGTCCGTAAAATGAGCTGCTTTACGAGTGCCGTTCTGTACGAGTATGAGTGCTTGGTTTGTGCAAGCCACATGCATTAGGAGTTATGTGATAGTTAAGTGTAAGAACGACTTGTTGAGGTTAAATCTAAAACATTTAACTGTTACGTTGGTGTAAGATGTTTTAAAAAGCAAGCTTCCAAGTCAATCATTTATGATGAGCTGTTGTCTTTTTTTTATTCAGGTATGATTTTGACTGAATGGTAGACGATGTACTGTCATGACAAACATGTAGGTCGTAGTCACTCCAAAGCTTTTTAGAGAAACATTTGTGTCTAAAAGATGCGACAGGTAAACCCAAATCATGTCATACGCTTTGATCATCGCTTTGATTTCATCGCTTTGATTTTGTTTTTCCAGTATAGAGATATTTGGTGTATATAGTTTATATAAGTAAAATATACATCCATATACAATAAACGTGTTCTCCGAGCACATATTTCAGATTTCCTAATAGACACACAAACAAACCCAAATAATGCCAAACTTAGTGGAGCCTTTTTGATACAAAAAGACACATTAGAAGTCACGATGTTGAGTGTATTGTCTGTAGATCACAGGGTGTTTTGGATGAAGTGGACACCAAAGTGTCTCAAAATGGAAAAACTATGAAGAGCAACTCAAAGCCTGTCAGGAAAAGACTAATTAAGGACATAACATGGTAAAGAAGTACATTTTCCACTAGTTCAATATCTTGAAAATGAAGCCATACTGTAACTATTATTTGCTGCTCTCAGGTGTATTTGAAAATCTAAATTAAGTACCTTGTCTTTTCTATGGTTATTGCTGTGATTTCGCTGTATGTTAAAGTCAACCATCGATTGCTAAAAATCTGTAATTCGTTTTTTGTTTTTGGTCAGAATGAATCTGTTTTTGACATTGAATACTGTTAAAGTAGAATACTGACTCCACTGTCAATAGTAAATGATTGTTTTCATATTGTGACACCAAATTGTACTCAAAACACCTCCTTTTACAAAGATTGTAGCGATAAAGGAGGTGCTTCTGCAGATTTCTGTGATACTAGTTCTGAATTACTCATAAAAATACCACAATAGGTTGTTAATTGTTACTGCAACTTTTAGAGGATTTATTTACTTTACATTATCATATAGTTTCCATTTCATATTAAATCTGACATCAACAGATGTAAGGACTTCTTCAGGCTTAGCCTGCTGTTAAACATTTGACCTAATGAACAAAGTGCCTGTGTGAACGTGTCCAGTCTGGACCCTTAATAAATGATCCATGTAGGTTTTGGAAATGGACGTTGGTTCATGTTGACTCATGTTTGTGGAACCACATTCACACTGAAAACCTCCTTCTACACCTCATCCTGAAGGCGCCACATGTCTATGAACTCTGCAGGTCACTGAAAAGATCTGAAAACACCTCATTGGATCCATGCTGGCCTCTGAATCTTGCTTGGAAATTCAATTGAATAAGGAATTATTGCATCCATTAAGTGCCCCCACCCCCCCTGGTCAGCAGACAAGATGTAAAGACTTAATGTTCATGTGATGCTCAACTGCTGCTATTTGTGTGCCGAGCAAACACTCTGCACATCATCATATCAGCCTGTACTGTAGACAGGGTGTACTCGTTTGTTTTTTTCCACTTTCCATGGTCTCCTTCTGCTTTTGTCCGTCTACCACACACTTTTCAATGTAACCCTCCTGTATCTTTAGTGTAGTTAATCATGAAGGAAGTCCCTCTCAATCCAGCCCTTGTGTAGATCCTATGTTTTTTTCATGTTGTCTTTTCGTGTGTGCCCCCTGTCTCTTTTCATTTGAATCAATCAGGTAAACATGCCAAAATTGATTTAAAAAAAAATAAAGAATATTTACACCCTGCTTCGACCTTTCCTGTCGTGTCAAATTTAATTATAAAGAATTACATTCAGTGCTGTCTCTTGAATTTAATTGGTAATATGATCATCTTAGATGTTTTATAAAAAGCAGACTGAATATTTCAATCCCCAAATCCCCTAAACATGGTTCAAATTATGACTTTTTAAGGTTTAAACCTTGATAATTTCATATAGCAGGCTTTATAGTTATTAGTATTTTTTTTTAAGTGATTATATTTAAAAGCTGTTCAGAGAAGCATATAATTTACAGCGTGTTTTGGGCTTGATGTTACAGACATTCTATTCAACTATTCAAATTTAAGGACATACAATAGTGGTTCTTGAAGTTCAATAGTATGCGCTGCCTCTAACTAATTACATAAAGCAAGAAATCTGTGTGTAAGTGGGTATACACTTTGCATATCTGGAGTCGAAAACCGTGGCTGCAAAGCATTTGCGACGGGGCCACGAGGAAACGTCGAAAAACATACATCAAATAAAATAAAAACTTAAATACTACACATGTAGCAATATAGGCTATTTGGGCGGAAATTGAGCCGTATCTGCCGATGCAGACTTTGTTGTTGTTTAGTTATAGCAGGTGATACCCAATTGGCTCCAGATTTGTTTTTTCACCACCATCATGAAAAACCATTTCAACCAGTCAACCCAAAGTCAAAGTAAACGGCCACAAATTCTTAATGGTATCCTTCTTCTTTTGTATAGCCAATCTTTAGTGGTTATTTGCATTTGTATTTTTAGTGACAAAAAAAACTTGGCATTAGTAGTATTATTTATGCATTATCAGCTGCTTAGAGGTAGTGTTCGGAAATTACACATGTGATAACTCTTTCATCTTTTCTCGCCAAAAACTATAATATACAAGATGCATTTGAACACATCATGATAACGTTATAACTTACCTTTTGTCAGTACTGATTTTTACTGAAAGCATTACTTGATCTCCTCATATAATGTAACTCAATGAAACCTCCATACATTAGCGGTTAGCTCCGGTGCTGCTAACGTTACGTTACCTATTCCAACATGTTGTAGCAATATCAGGGATTGGCAAATAGAAAGCATTAATGCCGACATCTCGATCGCATATTTTGCCTGAGTAACGGTCGATAACGCTCGTCATTGAAACTTGAATTCACATTATGACGGTTTAACTGTGTAATTACTCTGTGATTCACATGCATGTGTGGCACCCTGTACAATTTAGTGGCTACAATTATTTGCACAGTTGTTATTGTATTGTGTCATTACCTTTCCCCCCTCACTATTATTTTCTGGTTATTAGAATTTAAAACGCTTTGTGTGACTTTTTTAAACTCACCTACTTTCACCTGAAGTAGCTGCAGGGCGATACTCATTTTCGCCAATAGGGGGCAGTAGCGGGGTTTGGTTTGACTGGCGCTGTAATTCTTGTCTAAAATAAGCGAGCTAGACCAGAAAGGACACGAGATCACAGAAGCAGATATTCATCTGAGACTGTGTTGTTGTATTCACAGGACAATAAATTAGTCTGGAAAACTGAATGGACATCATCATCATTGAGTGTGTAACATGTGCACCAAACCAACGCAAGATAAAGTGTTTGTAAAAACTCTTTCAGAACGTTGACGTAAATTGGCTTTACCTATATCGTGGATCCGAAGACAAATGATGGTGGGACCTGATTTTAAAAGGGAGCACAGTTTGAAGACCACGAGATGACCCGCTTTGTAAAGTCAAATAGGTCCAAAGTCACCTACCTTCACTCACCTCATCTGAGGATTAGTAGGCATGCACATACAACCACCTGAACCTGTGTAAAGTTAGTATGTGTTTGTTTGTATGGAGGCGTGGGTTCAAATCTCACTTCTGACTGCCAGTGATTTTAATTCATTGCCGCTGTTATTCTATAAACTGCCTCTGAACAGCAGATCAACCACTATACTAATTGATTCACAATTGTATGTATATATATATACAGTAGTTTATAAATGTACGTATATAAACACATAAATGTATAAATAAACAGTAATAAATAAATACATGAAATATACAAGTTCCTATGATCATTATTTTATGTCTAAGGCAAAATCAGGCTTGACTTAAATAGTGCTTTTCTAACTTTGAAAAACAAAATTAGACAAATAAATACATAGATAAAAATGTACTGAATTGTTGTTTATTTAAATATTGGTATCCAATACCGGATCTACATGTCGTCACCGATAGCTGATTCAGCTATTTGAGTCAGTTTTGGACTGATATCATAAATATGTTTCGGTATCGATGCATCTGAATAAATAAATAATATTAACGATAATTAATACTATACAAGCGTTGGCGCTCTGTGCAGCAGAGTGGGCGGGGTTTAGGTCTCTTCAGACAGTTGATGTCGTCAGCGGGTCTTTACAGCCCTCTGCTCACTTCTGCTGCTGGATGCTGGATATATTAACCTTTCTAATGCATTTCCTTACCATAAAACCTTGAATTGCAGCTGTGTTTGAAAGGTGCTGTGACAGGGGCGTGGGGTTAGGGGCATGGGTTTAGGGGCGTGGGGTTAGGGGCGTGGGGTTAGGGGTGTGGGGTTAGGGGTGTGGGGTTAGGGGCATGGGGTTAGGGGCATGGGGTTATTTACTGCACTGGTACTTCTACTTTTGGTACTTTAAGTACATCTTGCTGATTATAACATACTTGACTAAAGTTTTGAATGCAGGACTTTTACTCGTCGTGGATTGTTTCATCAGTATGGTATTAATACTTTTACTGCAGTGAAGGATCTGAATAATTTTTCATCCACTAATTACTTGTAAGTGATTTAAATTTGGGAACTTACTTGGCAAACAGTTAATATACAAACAGTGGTTCTTAACCCTGGCTCCAGATCCTTAATCCGGTCAAAGATCTGGACCCAGGGTTAGGAACCACTGTTTGTATATTAACTGTTTACCAAGTAAGGACTTACTGTTTGCCAAGTAAGTCAGTTAATATACAAACAGTGGTTCCTAACCCTGGCCCCAGGGTTAAGAACCACTGTTTGTATATTAACTGTTTGCCAAACTCACTTACAAGTAATTAGTGGAGGAAAAATTATTCAGATCCTTCACTACAGTAAAAGTACTAATACCATACTGATGAAACAATCCACGACGAGTAAAAGTCCTGCATTCAAAACCTTAGTCAAGTATGTTATAATCAGCAAGATGTACTTAAGAGTACCAAAAGTAGAAGTACCCTTGCAGTAAAATGTACCCCGTCAGTGTTTTACTATTATATCTGATGTTTTGACAATAGGGAGCCAGGCATTAGAAGAGTTTGAACCATTTTTTCTTCTTCATGTTGGTGATTTGGTTCTGAAGATCTTCTTTGGTCTCCTGAAGGATGTACTTCTCGTGATGCCGAAGATAACACTCAGCTCCTAACAGATCTTCTGTCTTTTTCTGGGCTGCTTTGATCCTGTTTATCTCCATTGTCTGCTCCACCAGCAGGGCTTTGGCCGCCTGGTTTCTTTTGACCATCTGCGTAGCTTCCTCCTCCAATGTTTGAGGAGTAGCTATGTTCTTCAGCTGGGCATGATCGAGGTCCCTGCAGGTTTTTTCCAGGTGTGCCGTGAGGGATGACTGTTCCTGGAAACGGAGACGCTCAGTCTCCAGCAGGTCCTGTGTTTCTTTCAGAGCTGCTGCGATCCTGTTTGTGTCCACTCTCTGTTCGTCCATCTGAGCTTGATAGAAAGACTGGGCTTTTTCCAGAGTCTGCTTTGCTACTTCCTGCTGTTGTGCTCGAATGGAAGCGATGACCTGCACCCGGGAGTGGAAGTGGTCACAGTTTTTTTGGTGGCATGCTTTGAGGGAAGACTTCTCCTCTTGCCATTGTAGACGTCCATTTTTCAGCTCCTGCTTGGCCTTTTCAAGAGCAGCCTTGAACTTACTGCTGACATCTAACTGGCCGCTAATTGGGCCTCCCAATAATTTGTTTTCTTAATAAAACTTTGTATTTCCCCAATTTGAATGATCTTGGTGTCTATTTGTAGGTAATAAAAGATGCTTTAACAATTACCCACAACTATAACACTAGAATAATGAATGTGCTGATGTAATTGGACATTTAGTGGAAACATTAACGAATATAAGTGTCAATTAATAATTCAACTCTTTTATTAAAATCATTTCCTTCAACTATGTTCAAATTGAACATTACAAGAATATGATATCAAACTGGACAAAACAAACTGTATGGCAGTGGACACTTAATTCATCTAACAGTAATACATTTGATATTAAAGATAAATGTTTAACTTATAGCACATTCCCAGACTAGTCTAGTCAGCATGGACGGTAAAAAAGTTGTAACTCTTTCAATGAATGAAACAACTGTACTTCACATTTTAAACATTGTAAAAGATGCTACATTTTCATATAAGATCTACAATATTATTCTAAACACAAAATCAAAGCAGCTAAATTCACATGTACAACATTATAAGACTAGTTGCTAGGATATATCAGCACCGTTGGAAAGTAGTTGAGATTCTTTATGGAGATTATAAATATACATAACATATGAAACATTGCTGGACTAGTCAATCTGGACGGAAACAAATTATCTTACAGCACTAGATATTGAACTGATATGAAAATCAACAATTTTGCAGTTGCCATAAAGTGATTATAACCAATTGTAACATGAACATTTTTTTTAGTTTTTATCGTTTTTCAGTTCTTTAAATGCAATTTTACTTACAATTGCTGAGGACTTAGCCTCAAACTAATATGTAGCACCAAATTTAGGTGCATTAATGTTAATGTCACTGTTCAGGGGGTATCATTTCGATCTGAATGTCTGCAGTAACTCCGCACAAAGGTACGGTCATCGGGCACATTCATCTTCCAACTGCTACTGCTCACATATGCAGCTGCAGAGTGCTGTACATGGAAGTCCCAACTGAAAGCACTTGCACCTCCCATGGCAACTTTTCTTACAGGAACACTTGGCCAGTTCCTGACAACTGGCTGCGATGGGGGGTAACGTCGACCAACATACCTGCCATTTCTCTCCTTTCTGTGTCCACCCCCAATCAGTAGGACTGCCGATGTCTGGCCTGGAGATAGTTGTCTGGCCCCAGATGATCCCAGCCTGATGTTGGGATCTGACTATATGGCTTCGACATGTGGTGTGGAACAAAGAGAGTCAGGCCTTCCCTTTTGCAAGCAAAGGTTTCATCCTGATTGTAGTTTGAGCACCAAACCCCCAGCTCTGAAGAAATTCACATTGGGGTGTGAGTTTCCTCCCCCCAAAAACTATGCGTTCCTGAAGGTACCTGAAAGCAGCGCTGCAATCTAATTGGCCGAGAGCCAAGACACCTCAGGACCCCTGTGGTTCAGCCACTGTTCTACAAAACTACCTGCAACCCCCACCTCAATGATTTTTCCATCGATCCCTCCGGGGTAGCAGGAGGCACACATGCAACGTTGTTCTTCTTTTTAATCAAATCCTAGGTCTAACAGTTTATATTCGCTGGCCGAATTCACCAAACTGTCTATTTTATCTTCGTTCGTATCCACGAAGCGAACCCGTTTATTCCTGCAGAAGTGAAGAAGCAAGACTTCTTCAGAAAGAGAGAGAGAACTTCCACTCTGTTGACTCCAAGCGCCTCGTCTGCTCCGGCCATAAGGACGCGAAAATCCCTGATCCAGACGACAGCGATTCTCTCCTACCGAGAGAACACCTGCCGCGGCCCATCGAAGCTCAGAAGAACCCCTCAGAAGAACCCCCCCTCAATCAACACGATCGCATCGTACCGTAAGGCAAAATAGAGTCTGGGCAGAGTTGGAGAGAGTTCATTTATGTTTATTTTATCTTGTTTGTGTGCTTAAAGTACTGTTCATTTGTATAACGTGGTATATGCTTTATGATCACCAACACTGACGATCCCTGAAATTGCTAGTGTCGTGTAGAAGTTACCGTGTATTCTATGCTACCGTGATTCGTGTCGAGACAGCCGCAGTGAGGTCGAAGTTGCTTCTCATCAGTTCAGGAGGTCAAAACCGCCGGCTGAGACAAAGAGTCGCGGTTCTTGCTCCCCTGGCTGAGAGAGCAATCTTCCGTACTCCCGCGCGGCGCAGAGGATCTTAATCTTTTGTTTTATTTCATTTTGTTTTGTTCCTTTCCCTTCTCTTTTACTAACACACACACACACACACACACACACACACACACACACACACACACACACACACATATAGCTTTGAGCTAATCTAGCTACGTGCTAAACGGCTACCGGCACTAGACGCCGGGTCTCCTGTTGGCTATCCGCCATTTTGAGTCTCGCGCATGAGAGACATCACCACGTCCCATCTACGTCATACGTCGCTGAGCTGTTCCCTCGCTCCTCCCCCTTACGCACACATACACACACACACACACACACACACACACACACACACACAC